GATTTTGAGAAAATAGAGATGATTTTGAGAAAATAGAGATGATTTTGAGAAAATAGAGATGATTTTGAGAAAATAGAGATGATTTTGAGAAAATCTGCCTTAGAAACAGGCCTGAGATGTCCCTAAGACAGGTACTGTCTAACCGTGGCATGAACATCCCTTGCTTGTCTAGTCATTACTAAGATTCTTGCTACAAAACAGGCACCTTTGGTCTAGTCTGCAGTCTCCTCGTGCTCTTAGAGGTCAGAAATAGCCCTGCCCTTTGCACAGTCAAGTTATGTGCATTAATGCCACCAGGGCCCAGCGTACAGGAGGAAATATTTGTCCAAACTTGCCTGTCTCCCTGGATTGTATTCAACCTCCATGGTGAGGTCTCCTCAGTGGTTCCACCCACTTTAGCAGGCAACTTCCCAGAGTAGGTGTTTRCTACCTTAATTAAAGAGCTCCTGAGCTGGCCTTAATTAACAGACTGTCTCCTGAGTCTTGCTGGGAAATTGCCTGTGTCACGCTGCTGAGCTGTATTGGTGCTAGGGCATCAGCTCTGAGCAGGTGACACCACCCTGTCYCTGAGACCAGAGGGGAGGCATCTTAAGCAATGTTGCATGGACCGCCAAGGTGGGGACGGGTGACAGACAGACCTAGAGACAGACCTGCGACCGCCCGGGTTTGGTCCTGCTTGACTCTGCCACGGTTGCTTCTTTCTCAGTTGTTGCTGAAGTCTCTTAGGTCTCCTCCAAGCTCTCCAGCCATCCAAAAAGTGTTTTAATTTACACAGCTCTGGTGGTGTGAGGCCAGAGACAGCTTGGGAAACACCTCAGGGTCCTCASAGTGCTGGAAGATCGTGATGAACCTGTCTTTGTGGGCAATTGAACTGTGAACAAAGCTTGCTGACCAAGTGCTCCCTTCTCTTTCTTGCACGCAGCCATACAGTTAACTTGTTGGGAAACCTGCCCTTGAAATGCCTGGATGTCCTCTTGACGCCCAAAGTCCGTCCKGGCTCGCTGGAGTACATGGGTGTCAACATGGATGCGGTCAGCATCCTGCTGGATTTCCTAGAGCGACGGCTGGACAGGGTGAGTTGAGAGGATGCTGCAATGGGTTCTTCCCTGCTCGTTTCCACAGGTGCATTTCCTTCATCCTAGATTTAACCTTAGAAAACCCAGCACCAATGTGTCATACCTAAACCACGGGAGCACCACTAATGTTTTGTTAGTTTGGAGATAGCCCTTTATAGATGTGGCAGTTTCTTCTAACAGAGACAAAACCTCGGCAGGGCCAAAATGCTTGTGGACAGGGAAGGTGACTGTCACTGCTTTATGGGTGGTGAGGGTGACTAAGCAGACAGTTAGCTGGGTGATAACACACACACACAGSCTGTTTCCATCAACCCATTGGTGATCCGGTGAGCAGCTCAGCTGTTTGGGTGCAGCCAAATTGACTGACAGATTCGTCCGACTCTTTCTGGTATTTCCAGCACTGCTGTGCTACAGAGCAGGGCTCAGAGTGTCGTGCTGTTTGAGGAGCCACTGAGCCCTGGGAGCTCCTGCTGCAGAGGTTGGAGAGCCTCAGTGTCCATCTCTTTCTCTGCCAGTCTGCTCTCTCACCAAACAAGTTGAGTGCAAGGTGATGCGTTGTTCACTTTTGTGGGTGTTTCTGCAGGGGCACAAGCTGAAGGAGAGTCTGACGCCGGTGCTGAACCTGCTGACCGAGAGCGCCCGAGTCCATCGCCAGACGAGGAAGTTCCTGAAGGCCAAGGTAACCCAGGGGCTCAGGCAGAAGTCCAGCAAGGCTTCCCAGAGGAGAGAGCGAGCAGAGCAATGTGTGTGAGCTTTGCCTTCCTTCACACAGACCTCATCTCTCCAGATTAGGTTCTCATCTCCAGGGATGTGAGGCCTTTGGTACCCATGGTGGTGTTCTCCACATCTGCCACGCTTCCTGGATTTTAGTTTTAGCTGATTGGTAAAATGAATGTATGTTCCCACCATGGGACATGCGGTTGCTGCCCGCTGACGGCTGCTCGCCGCGGCCCCGCAGGTGCTGCCGCCTCTGCGGGACGTGAGGAATCGGCCRGAGGTGGGGAACTCGCTGCGGAACAAGCTGGTGCGCCTGATGACACACATCGACACCGACGTGAAGCACTGYGCCGCCGAGTTCCTCTTCGTGCTCTGCAAGGAGAGCGGTAAGTTGCCGCGGGATGGGACGGAGAGGCGTCAAGGAAGGCATGGAGGGCTCCCTCCTCTCTCCTTTGCCCGGCAGTGTCGCGGTTCGTGAAGTACACGGGATACGGGAACGCCGCGGGGCTCCTGGCAGCACGAGGCCTCATGGCTGGTGGTCGGGAAGAGGGAGAGTACTCTGAGGATGAAGACACCGACACAGAAGAGTACAAGGAAGCAAAGCCCAAGTAAAGAGCTCCACTTCCCCCTCTGTAACATCCCTTTTCCTGTCCCTCCTCTGTCCCTTTCTTCACCTGCTCYTCTGCCATCTCCTGTCCTGCTTTTTCACATATACAGATCACTCCTCTGTACTAGTCTCATTCTTAGCTTTGATTTCCTGCCCCACAGCTTCTACCTGCTCCTTGGGTTTAATGACTGGTGCAGGTGGTCACCAGTAGATATCTGCAGACCCTACAGTTGGGCACAGGCTCTAGAGCAGAGCAGGCTCCATCAGCCAGAGCCTGTTCTGTCCCCACCTCTACCTCGAGATGCCCTGTGCTGCTGCACTGAGCTGGCTTTCCTCTGGGCAAAGTGGACAACATGGGGATGTCTCCCATGCCAGAGGATGTGTGGGGAGGACATAAAGAGCCTGGAAGAGCCTGGAACCACACTGTTTCACTGCAACAGCCCCGGGGTCTTCTCTACGCAGCAAAACGAGAGGGCCCTCTTGCTTGCTGCAGCGGTGATAACCAGGGCCACTGCTSACTCTCTGCCCAGGACAGCACAGCCTGAGCTTTAGGCAGCTGTCTTCTCACCTTCCAGTTTTACCTCCCGGTTTTGTTGTTCTTGTAGCATTAATCCTGTGACGGGACGTGTCGAGGAGAAGCTCCCAAACCCCATGGAGGGGATGACTGAAGAGCAGAAGGAATATGAAGCCATGAAGTTAGTCAACATGTTCGACAAGCTGTCCAGGTACCACAGAACTGTGTATGCCTGTCTTTGTGTTAGCACCTGCGTGTCTGTAACTTACGCTTACCACTCATCTTGCTGTCCAAAGCTACAAGAGACATAAAGTTTGAGGGAGATATTCTGGGAGTCTTTCTCATGTTCTTTAAGGCAGGTTCTCATGCATAGGTATTGCAGTGCCCGTGTTATCACAGATTTCCCTTACGTGTCTGCACTGGTTGCAGACACAGTCACATCACTGAATTTGGCCTGACACTCGCTAAGAAAAGGAGCCTCTGTCCTAAGGAAGGAGCATTTTGGGGACAGGTGGCAGTTGGTGCCACCACGTCCCCTTCCCTGCAGGAGTGCCCACCCCCATCATCTCTCATCCATAGGTGCCACAGATAGTGGCTCAGGATCTGCTGGCTCAGTCCAGACCATTCCCATGGGCACCAAGAAAAAGGGCTGAGTATTGAACACACCTGCTTCCAGCACGTGTGGGAGAGGGAGAGTCCATTGGCAGAGCTGCTTTTCCTCTGGCAACCATGCAGAATGGGGCATCAATCTGACCCTGTTCCCAGGAAACTGAGAAGGGCACCTGGTGTGACACTCCTGTGTTTCAGGAGTCGCCTCGTGGTGCTTGGAGGTGGTGCTGGGATAACTGTCCCCTTGCTCTCTTCCGAGCTGGTTCCTTGCGACAGCATCCACTGTTTGACGTGGGTCTGACGTGTTCTGTGGTGTCTGCTGTGGATCCTGGAGCTGTGTAACCCTGTCCCATTCTCCCTGCTTGCAGAGAGCAAGTCATCCAACCCATGGGCATCACACCAAGCGGCAACCTGGCCCCCATGGAGAACGCCATCCGCGACATGGCTGATGAGAGGTCGTCCTCCGACTCGGAGCTGGGGTTGGACTGATCCCGATTTCCRCCCGGATCCCCAGAGGACTGGGGAGCCTCCATCTGCTCTCCCTCCGGAACTRGTGCTGCACCTGGAGGCTAGTTTTGGGCCAGGACTCTCCCTGTGGGATTTGAATCCAGCCTGGACCCTTTGCAATCCACAACAAACACCCCCTGCCTCCCTCCCAGCTCCACAACCACCTCTTTCCAGAGGCTCTTCGTGGCCTGGCTCCACCTTGGTCTCTCCCCTCAACTGTTGTTTTGAGGATCTCAGAGTCCAAACTGCTTCCAGGACTTTCCATTAGTATTTTTTTTTCTCTTGAATACGTGATGTTTGGGAAGAAGGATGCAGCTACGTGTCGGCACGCGCGTGGGTACGTGGAGGAGCCGCTCCGGGGAGCGGGATGTCCCTCCTCGCGGCAGGGCYGGGGTGGCCATGGGGGCCTCAGCGCAGTCTGTGTGTTTTGTGAGCAGGCCTCTGCACACGCGTGTGCCTCGTGACGGTGCCCACACGTGCAGGAGTGCAGGGAGGACCCACGCACRAGGGCGACGCGAGCTCGTGGGTGATGCCTACAGCGCTCCCATSAACCCCAGGAAAGAAACGGGGGGATGATTGCTGGAAATGCTCCACTGTTTAGTCTGTGACRCTGTGCAACGCTCCTCTCACCACCGAGTTTAGGTTTTGGCATTAGCCTTCACCCACTGCACTTTCCAACGGAAAGGCCAAAATCTGCTGTGTGTTGCCTCCTTGTCTGCCTTGGCATTTCCACACTTCCATTGCTCCAGTGCCCGGGGACTGGTGTTGATCCTGTCCTTCCTTGTGGCTTAGTCTTCATTTTTTATTTTTTTTTCTTTTTAAAGAGAAGATTATTTAAAGGAAAATACTCCAATTTGTCTTGTCCCAAAACTCCTTAGGAATGCAGAAGTGATGCTAGAATAAAGAAAACCTGATGAACGGTTGAGTGCCAGTGATTCATTAGACACTGCAGTCTGAGCAAGAAGGGAAATGCATGTTTAGTTTGTGGTTTTTTTATGACAAGCAAATGGTTCTGCACTGATTGAGCTCTAATTTTACYGGGGCCATAGAACTGTAGTGTGAAAACGGTGTAAAGCCAGAGGGCCCTTCAGGCCTTGAAGGTTGAGCACCAGTCCTGCGAGCTTGCGTCTCCTTCATGAATGCAGTGAGGGTCAAAACTGGTGCACGTTACAGTGCGAGTCTGGCTTAGAGCAGGTGCCAACTACGTGAACCGGCACCTATCGCAACGTGCAGCGTGGTCGGGGCCAGGCTGGGCGATGGGCACCAAGGCAGCTGCCCAGGAAATYGGGGTCAGGTGAGGCTGCAGTTGTGTGTGTTTCCTAGAGGGAAGTTGTGCACTCCGATCCCTGGTGATTTTGTTTTTASCATTCTTGATTAAAAATGCAGGATCTCCGGGGATCTACCATATTTATGTAAAACTAACCCATGAAGCTTCACAGAGAGGCTTCTGCCATGAAAATAGCTTCAGCCCGTCACAGCTGGAGTTTCTGGGTCAACTGCATCTCCATCCAGCTTTTCCTTTCTTTATTGATGRAAAAAGTGTTGCGAGCAGGAACGCACAGCCGTATTTGAGTGGCACGTTTGCATAAACACGTCTGCTCGTCTGGCTGTGGGTTTGTTCAAACCTCTCCTAGGAAGCAGCACCCAAAAATCTCTGTTTCTGTAACGCTAACAGTTGATGTGCCAGACTTCCCCACAGCCAGCAGACTCCGTGCCTTYGGCTGAGTCACAAGAGCTTGTGGAAGAGGAGACCCTGACATCTCTAACTGTTAAATATAAAGCTGTGAGACAGCTTTTCAGGGCTCTGGGTTTGCCCTAGGGAGAGCTTTGGGGCATAGAAGGGAATGACAGGCACTTTGAATGTTAGGAAGGTAAAAGTTTTGCTCTCGGAGCCCTTTGATTCCCTTTGCTTGGGGTTTGTGCCTTTTGGATGTTAACAGTAGCACAATGGCAGAGAAGCTCTGGGTGAGAGGAGGTACCAATGTGGGACAGGACCCAGGACCAGCTGAACTTCACGGGTTGCTCTGGGGAAGAGGAGCTGCTTTGCCTGTGTTGTGCAGAGCAGGTGCCCGGAGCTTCTTCCGTGCTCGGATCCTGCCTCTCCCTGGGACAGCCTTCCAGGGCRGCATTCACAGAAAAACCCTCAGCTGATGCTGGTAAGAGGATCAGCACTYTTTATTAATAAATAATTATCTTTCCACTGATTCAAAACTGAGCCAGAGCTTCCAGCAGTTGGAGCTGGCCTTGCTCAGACAGACGGTGGGGGCCAATGGGTAGCATTTGTCTCATGATTAACAGAGATTTCATCTGAAGAATTAAGAGTAGAGGTCTGCAGCAATGGAAATACCGTGACTATTGAAAACATCTGTCTGTGAAGGAGCTGGGGGGTGCTCAGTATGGTGGAAGCAGCTTGAGAACTCCAGCCTTCGGAAGTGATGGGGGCTGTGTATCTTCTGGCCTGACACCCCCGTTGCAGTGCCAGGGGCTGGGCTTTGGAATCCAGGCCCCACTGGGTCTCTGGAGCTGGAGGGCTCAGGGAGACCCCGAGGCCAATCTCACGCAAGGCAGTGTGCGAGTCCTGTGGCAAGCTCCTGGCCGTGCTTCACAGCGAAGGTCTCCCTGCCGTGGGGACAACAGCAGGGTACCAGCTGTGTGCCACTGTCAAAGCTGCTTATGGAAAGATGGAAGCCTCCTAAGGAATGTTGTGAGGAGGGAACAGCATGCACGGAGCATGTAAACTGTCCCAACACAACAGAACTAACTCGCCCTCAGCCACTGTCACCTTCCTGGGCAAAGGCTTCTCCCTGCCTTTGCAGGGTGCTGGACGCAGCTCCGAGCACCCCGTCCTCCCCAGACGCCAAGCCTGCTGCAGAGCCTCTCGACTGCTCCCTGCTGCCACTTCCCTGCYCAGGCTGCGCGCCACAACAGCTCTTCCTCCAAGGTGAACAGTGTTTTCCAGCAGCAGGGAGCCAGCCGGCCTATTTGTCTTTTGCATCCAGCTAAAAATAGATAAAAAGAGAGAGTGTTTGCCAGCAGATTTCAATCCTTCCAGCACCGCGAGCTCAGTCAGTGAGGGCTGCTAGCACCCAGGGCAGGAGCAGTTTATATTCCATGTGCTCCCAGATTTACATCAGCTTTATCCATTTGACCAACAGCAGCACAGCTGCCAAATGGAGGAGAGGCTGTTCTCCTATAAACTACAAAGGGTTTGTAGTGAAAGCAACAACCTCGCAGGGTTATTGATTCCTACTCGATCTTCCCCTGGTATGACGAAAGAAAGAACTTTGATGTTGCACTGGAATATCAAAAACAAATTTTTCTCTGGGGTCAGAAGAAATCATGTACAGCCAGAATAGCTGTTAAAAGTATAGCCTGGAGAGCGCACAGCCCTGCTGTGGACAACAGAGCTGCATCTACCTACACAGGCAGAAAGACTGGTCCAGTCCAAAACTTACAACTCTTACTCAAATGAAAAAAAAGTTTAAAAAGTTTCTGGTGTCACATATGGAAAAAAAAATGTCTAAAATACAGTAAATAGCACCTTAATACTAAGTTAGGAAAATAATCGAGAATTTATCTCGTCTATGATTTCTGACTTTTAAAGTTCAGCTCTCCAAGGATCGCAGATGTAGGAGGAACAGCACAGGGGAAAACTGACTGCTGGGGAAAAAAAAGTTGTCGCATCTTTAATTAGCCACTGAGGACGTGTCCCCCCGCAGGSTTTATCAGTGTTTATCACTACATCAGCGTTTGTTATCATATCCTTTGATGGAAGCACTGCCTGGAGAACAGACATTTTTCTGTGACGATTAAGCACAAAAGCGAGTCCTCTACTGCCTTACAAGACTGTCTGGACTCATTTTACAGAGAGGCCCCAGGGGTTTCCTAGTCTTGTCACTTCCAACTCTAGGAGAACTAGCCTAAAAATCTATAGTGCTTTTGCAGGAGGTTCCCTTTGGGAACAAATAATAATAAAACAGCTTTCCAATAATGGAGTGGGTGACTTCCTTCTTCAAACACCATTTTGCACCTATCCACAGCCCCTCCCTCTGACTGCAGAGTTKGGCAGCAGGAGCTCCTTGCAACTCCCCAGCACACAGAGTGGAGAGGCTGAGGGACGCAGGGCACCGAGCCCCCTCCCACCTTTTCCTTCTCCTCCTGGATTAGCGTTTGCATCTCTTGGGTCCAGCCCAGCAGCTCCACGAGCTTCCTGACGCCGCTGACCACGTCCCCCAGCTGGGCTACGTCGTTGTGGCGGTGCTGCGAGGCGAAGGGGCCCACGAGATCCCGGTTGATGAGGACGCGGGGAACAGAGCTGCGAACAGCGCCTGCCAGGCTGGCAAAGGGCTCCACCTGCAGGAAGGCCACCCAGAAGGAGCAGAGAGAGGGTCACCCTGCTGAGGGGCACTGCGGGGGCACAAAGGCACCGCATGCTAAGCTTTGAGCAGATCTGTAGGACGCCTGAGCTCCAATTGGCTCCAATTGGCTCCATTTATTCAGGGGCCTCTCTTCTGGCAGCTACGAAGCTCGTGTCCTCTCTCCGGGTGCCCACCTGTCCCAACAGCGCCCACGTTTCAGAGGGCCACATCTCGGAGCACACATACCCTCTTTCCAACTCGATCTCCTCGCTGCCCCAGTTTCTCGCTTTCTCCTCCTATCCCCACTCAGGTACCTCCTCTAAGGTCCCTGGGGCCCCATGCCCGAGCGCCCTTCTCTCAAGAGCCGGGTCTGCCCTAGCCCCAGACCTCCAGGGACGTTCCAATGACGAAGAGCAGGTCTGCCAGGGGGAAGTCAGCCACGTGCAGGAAGAAGCGGCGCGGCAGCTCCTCGCCAAAGAACACGATGTCGGGCTTGACRACTCCGGTGCAGACAGGGCAGCGAGGCACCTTGTCTGCCATGACGTCCCCCTGAAGCAAGAGCACCCGAGAGCGCTTGTTATGGGGCRGCCCGGGCACCCACCTGCACACGCTGCACCAGAACCACGTCACATGCTCACAGCGACAGCCAGCCCCTCYGCTTCCCTGCCTCGCGTGGGCTCTCCTGCAGCCAGGAGCAACAGGCCTGCAACAGGTTGTCCTTCCTCGCGGGAGCTCCCGAGCCAATAACTCAGCTGCGGCCGCTCACCCTGAAGTCCTCTCCCGGGAAATTCCTGCGGCAGACCGTGCAAGTGGCCGTGGCGAAGGTGCCGTGGGCTTCGACCAGCCGATCCGGCGGGATCCCAGCAACTGGAAGACACACGGAGTGGGTGATCCGCTCACCATGGGGGAACATCCCCAGCCCTGCYTCCTATTGCGCTTCTTACCCTCACCCCTTCCCGGTGCCCTGCTGCTGAGCGCCAGGGAAGAACTCACCTCGCTCCAGCCCGTCAATATTCTGCGTATAGAGACGCAGGAGAAGGCCTTTGTCGTGCAGGAGCCTCAGGAAATAGTGTGCRTAGTTGGGCCTGTAGTTGCCCGGGTAGAGTTCCTTGGCCAAGGTGAAGAAGGGTTTGGGGTTAAGGAAGAAATAGCTCAGTTCAAAGATGGCTTCTGGATAAGGGATGTTGTACTGCGCGAGGTTGCTGTAGAGGCCGCTCCCCGGGGACCTGCAGAGAGACAGGGGCCGCTGGACAYGGTGCCGGGAGATGCGTCGGTGCCCCGGCCCAGCGCGACAGCGGAGCTGGYGGTTGGATGCCCTGTGCTCTCTAACACTGCTTTGCACTGTGTTCGGTGGGAAATTTGGGATACCTCCRTGCAGAGCACAAGGCCCAGGGCCGCCCCATTTTCTGTTGGGGGCAGAGGTGCCCTCGGGCCCGGGGAGCGTGGGGAAGGCTGTGCGGAGCGGGCGCTAGCACCCATACTGGTGTGCGACACGCGCACGGCTTCTGTCGCCTGCACTGAGCTCTGGCCTGACGGAGGGCAGAGCCGGTGTCACCGAGGCCSGCGGCCCTAACTCGCAGCCCCGCCCAAGGCGAACCTGAAATCCGGGATGCCGCTGGGCGTGCTGAGCCCGGCGCCGGCCATCACGAGCACCCTGCGGCGCTCCTGTCCGCGCAGCCGCTCCGCCACGGCGGCCAGGCCGAGCGGCGGCCCCGCGCCGCAGAGCGCCCTGCCGGCCGGGGCGGCGCCGCGGGGCCAGAGGCGGCGCCAGGCCGCGAGGAAGCTCCGCGCCGGGCAGCGCCACCGCAGCGCCGCCGCGCGCCGCTCCATGGCGGCCGTTAGCGGCGGCCGTTAGCTGCTGGCGGCCGTTAGCGGCGGCCGTTAGCGGCGCTACCGCAATGCCGCGTGTAGGCACGCGCGCCACAGCGGCCGCCTCCCCCTTCCGCCGCCTCGGCCCGCTCGCCGCCGCGCCCCCGAGCGGTGCTTTACGGTACCCAGAGTGCCCCGCGCGCGGCGCCGGTAGTGAGTGTGCATTTCCGGCGAGCGCGGGGCCGCCGCCGCCGTTGTCGCCGCCATCACCATGAAGGACGTGCCGGGCTTCCTGCAGCAGAGCCAGAGCTCGGGCCCGGGCCAGGCGGCCGTGTGGCACCGCCTGGAGGAGCTCTACAACAAGAAGTGAGCGAGCGGCGCGCCGGGCCGGGCCGGGC